TTTAATGAGGTTATTTAATGAGTACATTAAAACATGCAAACTATTAGATAAAAATAATCATTCTGTATTGAGTGCACATTAAGGACTAAGAATAGCACTAGATGTTTTACTCGTGTTCCTTCTTTTCATTCTCTAATAACTGCAAATCTGATACAATTATGCTCTATGTAGGAGTCAACTGAAGTTATGGTACATGTAAAGAGAGATGAGAAAAAGAGCTGGAGGAAAAATGTCACCACATCCCATACCAAGGTTGCCTCCGATGGCTGGCAACCAGCGATCACTATTGTGGCAAAGCTGCTGCCCAGAACTGTCACTGGCCGAAAATATCCAACATGGCTGCAGACCTCATTCCCATGATATCTGCCTACAGCCTATTATAATAAAATTATCATGGCTGACACCTCTACTCATATCAGGTACTTGATGCCATGACACTTCTGAGACTTCCTAAAAAGATCAAAAAATGAACATTACCAAATTCCTGGAAATCTCCACCTTCTCATTGCAAACTCCACCCAAAGCACCACACCCTATTTAGCCTCCAGATCACAAAAACAGATGATCCCTAACCTCATGAGGCACAGCTCACTCTCAAACATGCCCAGCCTCCGCTTCAGTGTGTGTTCTAGCTTTACTAATGAATCTTATTCCTCTGCTAACTTTATCTACATCCCATCCTCCAGTTCAGAGACAAGAAGCTGGACTCATCCATTCCATGACAGGTACCTGCCATGGTAATAAGTAGCATAGTTAGGATTCAAACTCAAGTCAATTTGACTTCCAAATGCATGTTTTTTTCACTATAATCTTACTTCCAAATAGAGGCTATAATTTCTCTGTTTATCAAAGCCTAGGCGATAATAACTTAATTACTTTAACCATGCATTGAAAAAAAATTGCTGAATAGCATGCCCCTTTAGGAAAGTTGACTAAGAACACATACAAGTACTATACAATCTAAACTTATATTTTAGAACACACTATGATGACTTGGAAGATCGTTTTGCTCTGTACATATTTTATAGCTTTGACACATAAAGGAGAGAGATGAGAGCAGTTCAGATGCAGGAGTAATATGACTGTCTATCCCAGTCAAAGTATAGCTTAGGTAACAGAAGTTCTATCATGGTCATATTATTAAGCAGACACGTAAGTCACAAATAATATGGAATAGGGGAAAACAAATATTATTTTGATTTTGGAAAGCAACTAAGTACCAGGAAACTTTTTTACAAATGTAGAAAAGTACTTTTCATAATAGCTAATTGTACTGTACATTATGACATTCAGCTCACATTCTCCTTTTTGCTCATTTTGACCTCATGCTCTGTCACAGAAGTCCCTATTATGTGTCTCTGCCTTCCTTGTACATTGAATATGATTACCCTTAGACTTCAATATGAAATATGGTTCAGAATCTCAATATAGTCATATTTTTACTCTTTAAAAAAATAAAATTTTCTAGGAAAGTATGTACATTGCCAACCTTTAGTTACCAGTACTTAAAAGTAGTTATAATACATATATTATTTTTTAACCTCTTAGATCATTCCACACGATAGTTTTAAGTCAACAGAATGAAAAAACAGAAATGCCTATTTGTGGCCAATATTCTTTTATGCTAGAGAAAAGGAGATTCCATACACATACCAATACTCTACAAAGGAGAAGGAGGAAGACTTCTCTCAGGACAGGAAGAGAATATGATTATAATAATATGTCTTATAAAAGGTAAGTGTTCAATAAATATTATCAGCAGTTACTTTTACTGTTAATTCTATTGGTAAAGAGGGAAATTAAAAGAGCTCTGAGGCAGTCACCTATGCTTTACCCAATATCTATCACTGCCTGCTTTCTTGCTAATAGAACTCAGATTTTTTTTTTTTTTAATTAAGAATCTCCCTTAGGAATCCATTCCAGGGACAAATCAGGATCAGTCTAAATTAATTATGCCAACAACTTAGGTGGGCATGTGATCTTCTGGCAAATAAAAGGTAAAGGAGGAAATCTAAAGTCTAAAAAATCTAAAATCTAAAATCTAAAGGTAAAGGAGGAAGTCTAAAATCTGCCACTTTTATTTTTCTTTTTCCACTACTTATCATACATTATTTACATTAGATAGTCTATATGCTGTTAGAGCTTAAATGTGTACCTACTCACACAGTTGTACAATGAAGGAAACAGTTGGGAATTGAGAGGTGGGTCTGAGTTTCTCTCTCCTAACAGTCTGATGATATAGCATGTATTCACTTCTTTTATGATTGTATAAAACACGTATTCCTCTAAGACTCAAGCTATTATACAAATTACTACCTGGCCTAGCAAATGAGAGTCATTTTCCTTCATTTATTAAGGAGTTTGGTACCTGGTTCACAGTCTCACTCACACTCTTAGATTCTAATACAATCCTGAGTGACTTCTGCATCTAAATAGAAGACTCCCTAAACTCATTAACTTCAAAATCCTTTGAATTCCTTCATCTCCCCTTAGAGTTAGGCCTGTAATCCCATGGCCACACTACAGATGTACCATCACTGAGAATATTCTCACTGTCGTATCTCAAATTCAAATATGTTTCATTTTCAGATCTTCTCATCTTCTATTTCTCTCGATCTGTTTTTTCCTACTACATGGGTTCATTGATTTTTATGCTCCTTAATTCTCTCCTTGTTAGTACTCTATAGACATTAGTTTTTCCCAGTAACTCTCAAATGGTATAGCCCATTACTCAGCACTTTAATCATTCTCACCAATATCCTTAAATTCTTCTTGATTTGTTTACTATCATGTGTTAATCGTGTAAGAGATGAGTTCATAAAAGCAATGAAGGCCAGACTGTGTAGAATTTGCAAACCTTTGTAAGTATTTACATTTAAGTAAAGTGAGTTGCCATTGAAGGGTTTTGAGTAAAATAAAATCTGATTCACTCTGCCTCTTATATTGAGGCTGTAAAGGACAGGAATAGTAACAGGAAATCCTCAGAAGAGACTATTAAAGTAATCCAGTGAAAGACGGTGGTACCTTATACCAGAGTAGTAGCAGTGGAGGTAGTGAGAAGTGGTCATATCTACAACATATTTTGTATGCAAAACCAAAAGGATTTCCTGAGAGATCATCCTCTTATAAGTCAAAATAAAATTCTAGAAGTTGACATGGGAGAAAACTGTTGGGAACAAGTTTGTGGCAATGTTTTGGAGATAAATATTAGATGTCTATTAGAAGTCTAATCTAGAAAGATATGGGCCTGCAATCTATGGAAGAAGTCTGAGCTAAATATATAAATTTGAGGATCAAATGGAATATAAATGGTATCATAAGCAACAGAGCTGTATTGGATCATCAAAGAAATGAGTTATTGTTAGAACAGCAGGGGAAAAAGCCAAGGACTAAGCCCTGGATTCTCTAACATTGGGAGATCAGAGAAAAGAGAAGCAAACAGCAAAGGAGAATGAAGATTGAGAAGTGATGTAAACAAGCAACCAAAAAGTTGTGTCCTGGAAGCCTGGTGAAAGCCACGTAAAATGGAAACTCAGAATTGACTACTGGATTTAGCAACACAGAAGTCATCTACAACTTGACAAGGGCATTTCAATAAAATAACGATGCAAAAACCAGACAGGAGCAAAATTAGGAAAAAAAAGAAGAAAGGAAAAAACTAGAAGACATGAATTGGTTTCTGTAAGTATAAGCCAGTTTTCTGAGGAATTTTGTTTCAAAGGAGCAAAGAAAATATCTAGCAAAGAGGCTTGCATATTGGCATAGCAGGTAAAGCTGCCTCCTGCGATGCCAGCATCCTGTGTGGGTGCTGGCTTGAGTCCCAGCTGCTCAAATTCCAATCCAGCTCCCTGCTAATGGCCTGGGAAACTAACGGAAAATGGCCCAAGTGTTTGGTCCTCTGCATCCATGTGGGAGACCTGGAAAAAGCTCCTGGCTCCTGGCTTTGGATCACTCCAGCTCCCAAACTGCAGGCATCTGGGGGGTGAACCAGCAAATGGAAGCTCTCGCTCTCCTCTGTCTCTCCCTCTATCTCTGCAACTTTGCCTTTCAAATAAATAAATCTTTTTTTTTTTAAAAAAGGAAATAACTCGCAGAGTGTTTTTATTAGTTTATTTTCAGATAGGAGCATGTTTGTATGCTTATGTAAAATTCCAGAAGATATTGGAATAATAATAAGAATATTTATTAAGTCATCAAGAATTAGGTAGGAGAACGGTTGGAGAGCACAGGAGTGAGAGATAGTGGGTTAACTCTTTGATGACATAAAATTTAAAACCATGGTTTTCAAATGGGAGTAATGTAGAATGATACGGAAGGAATAACAACATACATCAGGATAGTCAATCCTTCTCCTGGTCCCCCGTTTGGAACTAGAGAGAGAGAGAGAGAGAGAGAGAGAGAGAAGTATCTTATGAGGAGAGTCAGTGTCCATGAAAGCAAGAAGGTAAAGGGAAGAAAAATCCAAAAAGTCAGAGGGAATAAGGAATTCTGCTGATAATGGATTGCGGTTTCCTCAGAGTACACAGTAAAAGACCTTCAGAAGTTGGGCAATCAGAAGTTGATAGCAATCAGAAGGGCAGATACACACAATTTTATTTCAATGGGTGGAAAAAAGATGAGGGATAATGTGGGTGTCTGGAGCTTCTTGCAATGGCAAACATAAAGTAGGATAAAGGATAAAATAAGGTTAGTCCTGGCAGACTCAATGAAGATAGGGGTTGTGAAGTTGTAAGTTTTGTGGGGTAAGGCAATACAGGATGCGTGTGTCTCCCTTGATGGCTGCTGGGAAAGAATGTACTTGCGCCTAGTGCTGGAACTGTCTCTTGACCCTTTATGGAACTGATTAGGTTGTGATCAACTCCATTCATTATTAGCAATTTAGAAAATTTATGTGACCCAGAGACACATAGAGTTCTGATCGAACAGTTTATAATTTTAAAAATTTCCCTGCTCTAGGGAAAAAGTAAGTTAATTTTTCATAGCAGTTTGATTTTACTTACATCTGTGTTACAGGAGCGATATCGTTTCCTTTCCCCAAGGCAATATTTTCCACCTCCTGAAGGTCTGAAAAAACATTTTGTTTAACATGTGAATATAATATATCTTCCATTCAAAGAGTACATATATTGTTTGATGGAAACACATTAAAGTTTACTTTAAGAAAAATATTATATTTGACATTTTAATAATTATTAAAATAATCATGCTGTGATTATTAGCAATGATTACAGAGTTGACAAAAAAGTTAAGGCAATATACTATGAGTAATGTACAAGACTCTTCATTGTCATGTTTTACTCTTAAGAAAATGTAATTAAATCAATATTTTTCTCACTATCATGGTAGTACTGTCATCAGTTTTAGAATCATTTATTTATAATGAAAAACCACTTAAAATTTTTCAATAAAACCCATAGTCTGATGCTGTCTACCCAGTAGGAATGGAATTTTTGTTTTCTGAAGACAAGAAGCAAAGAGAGGACACTAAATATCTCTGGAAATAAGCTTCAGTTCAGATAAGTAACGCAGAAGTGAATTTCCTTCTTATTTCAAATATTACATGACGTTAAATCCAAAAATCAGATGGCTTTGCATTATATAAATTTTCATGTTACTCAAATTAAATGAAAGAGGAAGATATCAAATATTTGATTTACACAGCTTAATCTTTATAATGTTTCATAGGGAAAACCATCTGCTATTATTTGGGCATGCTAGTATTAAATGTGAAAAGAAAACTTATTTCCATTTTTAAAAGAGGTCCAGGTCATTTCTTTAAATATCTGGGTACATTGTTTATCATAAGGTTTTATACTTTTGGTTTTTAATTTACAGTAGCCTGTAATTGAATTCAGGTTAAGTATTCTGTACTTGTTTAAAAGTGATCAAGCCCAAATTATAATTTTGGCTCATTGCTACCAAAGGGATAAGTAAACTACATTTTGAAGATATTTTGAATGCCAGTGGGTCTAAGTAAGGAAGAGAGAAAAGTGACTCAGCTTGAGAGAAATGGGTAGTAGGGATGGTGAAAGGATGATGATTTATGAACAGGTAACAGCATGTGTTATTTTGTAGAAGGGTAATAACTGATAGAAAGTGAGAGAATGGAAACACAGAATATAAAGGAAAAACTGTTAAATTAAAAAAAGAGTGAAAGAGAAAAAAGGGCACATTTTGAGAGAGGAACCAAAGAATGGAATCGTGAGTTAAAATGAGAGAAAAATAAAATAGTCCATCTTTTAACCTGGCAGGTGGGTGGAGGGTGGAGTAGAGGTGTTATCACATCATTCTTCACCAAAATACTAGCTGGGAAAGAATGCTCTCAAATGGGGTTCTAGACAAAAATGGGCACTTAACATGTAGCAGCTGAGAAGGAGTTTAGTCTGAGGGAAGACAGTAAAATATAACTAGAGCAACAGTCCACCTGCAATGGGCACTGGTGAGAAGGAGAAGCGATAGAGCTAGAAAAGAATACTGATGGGCCTGGCCTTCCGCCAGGAGAACGCTGGCTGGAGGAAAGTGGTGGGAGAGGAGCAGTCTGACCTGTATAAAACAGTCATTGGGAGAAAAGTGGCGGCAGCTAAGGAAGATGATTAATGGGGGCATGTGAATGGAAACTATTTTAACACATGGGCAATATTCTTTTCATTGTGATTTGTGATGCGAATCAAGGCGTTTCAACCCTTGAAGTGCTCTCATTGGTCCTTTTAATACTAATGTAGCAGTAATAATTTTATGTGACATGTGAAAAGACCTTAGGTTTCCTGGGAATAATGGTAATGTAGCTAAAACCAGACCTGGATTCATCCATAATTCAGTAGTTTTTGGAGGAGGATATATATCTGATTAATACTAGATTAAAAGTATGGCTTATCTGGGACAGAAACAATGCTTTTCTATTTTTCATATTTTATTTTTAGTTACACGTTAAGGGAAAAGGAAGAAAAAGAAATCGTCTAACAAAGTTCCTCCACTTTCCTGTGCCTTTTGCTTGTTCTGAAGACAAGCATTTGGCTCACTAGAGAAACGTTTTTACAGATAACATGTGAAACCACAGCTTTGAATCATTTCCAACTGTGTCTTTTTGTTGGCTCCGGCTTACTTTAGCTACTTACGCTGGACTGTCACAGTGTCTTAGGGATGAGGAGACGCCTCCCCCGCAGGTCCTGCTGCACTCTCCCCATAGTGACCAGGGACCCCAGCCCCCATCTACGCTCTGGGGCCAAGTGCCAAAAGGAACACAATCTCCCTGATAACACCACTGCAAGATTTCACAGAAAACACAGAATTAGCTTTTAGCAGATAGAGCTATCAGAGTAGAAATACATAAAGGTCAAGTAATGGCCAATTATAGGCATTAGCATTCTCACAATAGATAACACAGATAGTTCTTTAATTGTGCATAGACATTGGTGAAGGTGCATGTGGATTGCAAATTATTTTTAGCTAGATGGTGATTTATAGATCTCTACCTTGTACCAGGAGGTCTAAAATCACCGACTTTGCTTCTTTTTCCTTGTTTCTTCTCCTCCAGACTTTTAGTGTTTCTCATTATGAAGCTAGCTATAGACCTCCAAATCTTTTTAGATATTTTAGTATTTTGTAAAAAAAAAGATTTTTATATTCCACTATTATTAGATTCAAGAAATGATAACGCAATATGGAAAGTTCCCCAGTAAGGAATTTTTATGATGGTAATTGCTCTTTCTTAAAAAAAAAATAAAAAAGACTAGTTGAAGCTACAATAGTAAAAGAATGTGTTGTGGCATTTCATCTACACGAGCACTGCAGACATAATAAAAATAATGCCAAGACACTAGGGAATGAGTACAAAAAACCCTTATATACACTGACTAGCCATGTGTATGGTCCCTACATGAACATGTGTACTGGAATTCTGCTCGCCTTAACTCTCTGTAATAAACCACACATACTGCACCTACACAGAAAGCCAGGAATAAATTATCAAGACACAGACATCGCATAATCAGTTCATAACTCTAGCATGATAAATCTTATTTGTAGAATATGACAAAATGAAACACTTAACTTTAACCAACTATTTATAGGCTTTTATTAGCACATTTTTCTGAATTATCAAACTCTGACAAAAGCATACTGATACTATGAAAGTCATCTCCTTATATGAATAGCAATGGGGAACACGCTTATTAAGAGTTGAATAAGTGTCAGCAATGTTAAGATTGCTAAATAAAAATTTAACCTTATCTTAAAATGTAGAGGAATATGACAGGTGCTGCTCAGAAACTAATTAGCTTAGTAAACTACTTCTATCACCAGACTTCATTGATTTTACCTACACGATGCATCAGTTATTCTTTAACATTTACCTTCTTCTCTCTACCACCCTGAACCAAACTGGCAAATGGAGTGGCTTCTTACCTGATCACTCTGCCTTTACCCTTTTCTACTAGAATTTATTTTCCAGAGAACATTCAGAGAGATCTTTGAAAAACATGATATGACATCAAGTCACTTTTTGGCTAAAAGACCTTGGTGGGTTTCTACTCCTCTCAATTCTGCTCAACAGTGGAGTTAGTGGTTTAGCTCTGCTTCCTTTTCAATCATTCTCTCCCTTGCACAGACTGCTCCAAATAGTTGCTTTCTTTTCTCTAATACCAGTATAGCTCAAAAAGTTTGTAAAAACAAGGAATTAAAAGGTAAGTTTATTTGGTGCCAAAGATGTCTGAAATCCATGCTCAGTTTTTTCATAATAAAAATTTTCTATGAGCTTTTCAGAGGTTCCCTCCTACACTAATCTTGTTCTTTAGAGGATTTGCATTTGTATTTGCTGGTCCTACTTGTAATGCACTACTCGCAATTCCTCATGTTACTGTCCTCTTACCACTCAGTTTCAGGCAAAGTGTCATTTCAACAAACAGGTCTTCCCTTGACCACACACTCTTACTCTGAAGCTCTGTTTCATCAGCCTTTTACTGCTCTATTCCTCCATTGTAACATGTAATAAGGATGAAATCTTCCTGGTTTGGTTCCTCTGACCACTTAAAACTGATTCAGAGGGGCCAGTGCTGTGGTGTAGCAGGTAAAGTCGTCTCCTGCAGCGCCTGCATCTCATATGGACGCTGGTTGAAGTCCTGGCTGCTCCACTTCCAATCCTGATCTCTGCTATGGCCTGGGAAAGCAGTGGACTATAGCCCAAGTCCTTGAGCACCTGCTCCTGCGTGGGAGACCCAGAGGAAGCTCCTGGCTTCTGGCTTCAGATCAGAATAGCTCTGGCCATTCTGGCCATCTGGGGAGTGGGCCAGCGATAGAAGACCTCTCTCTCTGCCTCAGCCTCTGTAACTCTCTTTCAAACAAAATAAATAAATCTTTAAAAAAAAAAAAAAACTGATTCAGAGTACTTGTTTGCCTCCCCTCCTCAGTATATAAAAGACTAGAGAGCCACATGTGGCTATTAAAATTTAAATTAAAAGGAAATTTTCAGTTTCTCAGACCCACTAGCCATATTTCAAAGGTTACACAGCCACATGTGGCTAGTGGCTACAATGTTGGACAGAGTAGATGTGGAACATTTCCATCGTCACAGAATGTTGTATTGGAAATAATGAATGCCTAGAATAGCACTTGGCATGCACAAAATTTATTGAGTGAACACATAGTTTTTTGTTGTTTTGTTTTTTGGAATTTTTTTTTGTAGAATCCTGTATCTTGTTTTGCTTACTACAGGAAGGAACTGGAGATATTGGTGAGTAAACACAGTAAATTCATATTTGTTTCCTTGGTAACTGGTACACAAATTGGCACTCAGTAAATGTTTAAGTATTTGTGAAATCATAAAGGACATTTTAGGGAGATGCTGAGCAATTACCAATTGTCTGTAAGAAATTAGTCAAAAGAAAGTCCAAATCTGGTTGGCTATAAGGAAGAACATTCTGATCCTAAACATGATACACATTAAAGTACAATGCTGTAAGATTATAAGTTATGGATGGTGAAAAGTACCATGAGAAAAACAGTCATCTGTCCAAAATATTGAAAAGGCAATTGGTAAAGCCAATAGTATATTAAACACTGGTATCTGGGCTGCTAACATAAATATGAAGAAAATCTTCCAGCTGCCACTTTATGACTTGTTTCATTGGTTCTAGAGACAATCCGTTTTTAATTATGCTAGATTTTCACCTAAAAAATTACAACATCAGGCCAAATAATCTTGTTTTGTGTTTCAGTTACAAAAAGTGGCTGTGTATAAGAATATTTATATCTGTATCATTTTTTCTTTGGAAATAACTGAGTCATATGGGTGCCAGGTTCTAGTCCCGGTTGCTCCTCTTCCACTCCAGCTCTCTGCTGTGGCCCGGGAGGGCAGTGGAGGATGGCCCAAGTGCTTGGGCTCCTGCACCTGCATGGGAGACCAGGAAGAAGCACCTGGCTCCTGGCTTCGGATGGGCGCAGCGCCGGCTATAACAGCCATTTGGGGAGTGAACTAATGGAAAGAAGACCTTTCTCTCTGTCTCTCTCATTGTCTGTAACTCTACCTGTCAAAAAAAAAATTCAAGTCTTCAAATTTATTTTTTCAAGATATAGATTTAGCATTATTAATTTTTCATAACATCCAAGCCTAGTTTTACATTTAGTTCATATAATCACAGAGTTGCATCTAGGGCTTAAAGAAACTTCAGGATTCATGTGATCTAAGCACTTAATTTTTTCAGATGAGGAAAACAGAACCTGAAGGAGTTGATTTGCCCAAGGTCACTTAGTGGCAGAAAAGGGATTATCTGTCTAAAAATACACAAAGTCAACGAGAAAGAAATCAATTGAAGGTGCAGAGTTAGAAATTTGAAGACATGGCCGGTGCCACAGCTCACTAGGCTAATCCTCTGCCTTGCGGCGCCGGCACACCAGGTTCTAGTCCCGGTCGGGGCACCAGATTTTGTCCCGGTTGTCCCTCTTCCAGGCCAGCTCTCTGCTGTGGCCCGGGAGGGCAGTGGAGGATGGCCCAAGTACTTGGGCCCTGCACCCCATGGGAGACCAGGATCAGTACCTGGCTCCTGCCATCGGATCAGCGCGGTGCGCCGGCCACAGCACGCTGGCCGCGGCGGCCATTGGAGGGTGAACCAACGGCAAAGGAAGACCTTTCTCTCTGTCTCTCTCACTGTCCACTCTGCCTGTCAAAAAAAAAAAAAAAAAAAAAAGAAATTTGAAGACATTAAAGAATACTATACTGAATTTTTTAGAAAATACTATATAAAATAACACTGAAGATTAAAAACAAAGAGCTGTGTATTCACATAGTATTTCAGACTGCTTTCAGTACATGACTTGGCAGAGAAAAAATTTCCTTTTTTCATTGTTCATAAGAGAAAGGGATTGAGAGGGCCACAGCATACTGAGAGATATAGGTTCTAAAGTATTTAGTAATATTGGTGACCATGTTTCTAGAATGTTAACCAAATACAGCTCAGTGAGAGAACTTACATAGATCCTATTGCTTTCCTTTTCAAACAAAAAGTAAAAGATAAATATAATATTCAGTTTGTAAAATGCTGCTTAGCTTTCACTAACATAGTAGAATTTCATAATTAGTTTATTAGAAGACCTTTTACTGCATAAATTCATGCTTTGGTTATATCTCTTCCCATGGACATATAATCTCACAGATCATCATAGAGGTGGGCTCCGAGGGTTAAGGTGCTTCTTGGGACAGCCATATCCTATATCAGAGTGACTTGGATTGAGTACCACCTCTGCTTCCATCCAGCTTCTTGCCATTGTGCCAGGAAGACAGCAGAGGATGGTCCAAGTATTTGGGTTCCTGTCACCCATTTGGGAGGCTTGGATTGAGCCCTAGGCTCCTTGTTTCAGCCTGGCTCAACCTTGGCTGTTGCAGGCATCTGGGGAGTGAACCAGTGGATGGAAGACCTCTTTCTCTCACTTTCTCTCTCTGTCACTTCCTCTCTTGCTATTACTCTGCCTTTGAAATAAATAAATAAATCTTTTTTTAATAGACAACTGTATAAAAAGTTAAATGGCTTAAAATTCATAATAATATGGATCAGTCATGCAGTAGTAAAAAAAGACTAGTTTCTAGTTTAATAACTAGTTAAGATCTTAGTTGACTAACTTACAAGTTAACCTCAATCTGTATAGCAAACTTTGTTACAAACTTCAGTTATTGTAGCAGTATCTTCAGTTCAAAGCATGTCATTTGCTTTCTTTTTTCTCCCTAACTACAAAATGGGGACTCATTTTAGCTTTTCAGATTAGGACAGCTTTAAAAGTTAATTCAATGGAGACATGCCTCCAAGAAGTTAAAACTCTTATCAAACAACTTATTTGATTTTGATATGTGGTGGAAGTATTCTTTTATGTTTTGTTTTTCCAGTTTGTATTTATAGGAAAGGATCTCTTGGGAATTCTTGCTACTTCTCTCCTTTGGTAGGGAAAATCCTAATGTATGAGTTCAAGAAAAGAAATTGAGTCCTGCATTGTGCAGTGTGTTAAGCAGCTGCCTACAATGCTGGCATTCCCACATGGGAGTCAGCTCAAGTCCCTACTCTTCCATTCTAGATTTAGCTCCCTGCTAATGCACCCAGGAAAGCAGCAGAAGCTGAACCAAGTGTTTGGGCTCCTACTACTCAAGTTCCAGCCTCCTGACTGGCTGTTGGGCCAACTGAGGTTGAATCACTAGATGGAAAAGCTCTCTTCTCTCTTTCCCTCTCCCTTTATCTTTCCCTTTCCCTCTGTAATTCTGCCCTTCAAATAAGTAAAATAAATCTTTTTTTTTTAAAAAAAGGAGAAGAAACTTCACTTAATAAAAAGAACTTTAAGAGGTCCATAAAGGAATTCACATGGATCAAGTGATTTGAGCTACTTTTCTGTATGATTGCATTAATCAAAAAATATCAATTTTAATCTGTTTAAATCACAAGTAGAATAATTAGGTTACACCAAATAAAGCAACTTGAAATATACAAATCACAAACGTGAGTCTTCTTTGGGGCCAGTGCCATGGCTCAGTAGGTTAATCCTTCACCTGCAGCCTTGGCATCCCATATGGGTGCCAGTTCTAGTCTCAGCTGCTCCTCTAATCCAGCTCCCTGTTAAGGCCTGCGAAAGCAGCAGAGGATGGCCCAAGTGCTTGGGCCCCTGCACCCATGTGGGAGACTCGGAAGAAGCACCTGGCTCCTGGCTTTGGATCGGTGCAGCTCTGGCCATTGCGGCCATTTGGGGAGTGAACCAATGGAAGGAACACCTTTGTCTCTCCCTCTCATTGTCTGTAACTCTACCTCTCAAATAAATAAATAAAAGAAATAAAAAAGAAAAAGAAAAAACAAAGGCAAGTCTTCCCAGTGTTGTATTATGTTTATCCTGTTTCACATGTAGATGCTGAATTTGTAAAGTTCTATTTCCAAAAGCACAGAATTCTATGAAGGGAAGTTAAATATGCAGATGGAGGAAAGTTTCTAATTTTGACTCAAAGGTTATACCCAACCTAGTCACTTTGAAAGTTCTAAAAATCAGTCTTACTTCTTCAGCTTAAATAATCCAGGTAGAAATTTGATAAATTAGGTCTTTCTTTTGCTAATCCAGGTATATACAACCAGATTTGTAAAGATAACAAAGGTATAAAGGTGAGGCTGGCGCCGAGGCTCACTAGGCTAATCCTCCACCTAGCGGCACCGGCACACCGGGTTCTAGTCCCGGTCTGGGCGCCGGATTCTGTCCCGGTTGCCCCTCTTCCAGGCCAGCTCTCTGCTGTGGCCCAGGAGGGCAATGGAGGATGGCCCAAGTGCTTGGGCCCTGCATCCGCATTGGAGACCAGGAGGAAGCACCTGGCTCCTGGTGCGCCAGCTGTAACAGCCACTGGGGGGGGTGAACCAATGGAAAAAGGAAGACCTTTCTCTCTGTCTCTCTCTCTCTCTCTCTCTCTCTCACTGTCTAACTGCCTGTCCAAAAAAAAAAAAAGGTATAAAGGTGAAACAATCACATTCCAAAATTAGTACAATCTCATATTGTTTATTCTTGCTTTTCACATTTTCCTTAAATTACTGTTCTAAACACTATTACACCATCAAGAAAGATGGTATATTCTAAAAGGCTTTAACAGCCTCTTTATGAAATACTACCCATTATTAAACAACATCTCTTACTATTAGACTAGTTAATTTCATGACCTATATTATAGTACATGAGCAAGATATATTTTAAATCAATCTATCTGACAACATGACAGAATTCCACAAAGGAAAATTTCAATGTGTACTGAGCATACACATTGTTTTCAATTAATTTTTCTTATTTATTAGAGTGATTTTTAGGGTGTTATTGTGGTATATCTTGTTAGAGACAGCACTGGGTTCTGTCAGCATTTGGAATGAGAAGATGCTAAGGAAATCCTAAGATTTTAAAGAAAGTAATATTGATGATTCAGAACATTTTTCCCAAATCAGAAGAGCTAAGGGTTGGAGCAAAGCACTACTGAAAGTCTTGTATTTTTTTTCTGTGCAGGTGTGGGAATGCTAAAGCCACATTTCAGTCCAAATTTTAAATCAGAACTTGTCATCCCATTCCATTTAAATTTTTAGAGCAATTGTAACAATTTCTTTCTTTGCTTCCTATGTTTATAGTTTAGCACTCAGTCAAAACATACCATATTCTACCTTAAGTGAATCAAGAGCTAAAGCTACAAATGTTCTATTATATATCCAGTGCTTGAGAAGGGCAATAATAATCCTGTTCCTATCCAGGCCTATGTTTCCCATGCAAAGAAATTAGGGATCAATGTCACTTATTTTTTAAATATATTTTTAACTTTTATCTAGTAAATATAAATTTCCAAAGTACAGTCTATGGATTACAATGGCTTTCCCCCTACCAAAACTTCCCTCCCACTCGCACTCCTCCCATCTCTCGCTCCCTCTCCCATCCCATTCACATCAAGATTCATTTTCAATTCTCTTTGTATACAGAAGATCGATTTAGTGTATATTAAGTAAAGATTTCATCAGTTTGCACCCACACAGAACATGAAGTATAAAATACTGTTTCAGTACTATTTTATAGCATTAATTCACATTGGACAACACATTAAGGACAGAGATCCCATATGAGGAGTAAGTACACAGTGACTCCTGTTGTTGACTTAACAATCTGACACTCTTGTTTATGGCATCAGTAATCTCCCTAGGTTCTAGTCATGAGTTGCCAAGGCTATGGAAGCCTTTTGAGGTCACCGACTTCAATCTTATTTAGACAAGGTCATAGTCAAAGTGGAAGTTCTCTCCTCCCTTCAGAGAAAGGTATCTCCTTCTTTGATGGCCCTGTTCTTTCTATTGGGAGAATAGATTGCAGAGATCTTTCATTTAGGTGTTTTTTTTTGTTTGTTTTTTTTTTTTTTTTGCCAGGGTATCTTGGCTTTCCATGCCTAAAATACTCTCATGGGCTCTTCAGCCAGATCTGAATGCCTTAAGGGCTGATTCTGAGGCCAGAGTGCTGTTTAGGACATCTGCCATTCTATGAGTCTGCTGAGTATCCAGCTTCCCATGTTGGATCATTCTCTCCCTTTTTTATTCTTCCGGTTAGTATTAGCAGATACTAGTCTTCTTTGTGTGATCCCTTTGACTCTTAGACCTATCAGTGTGATCAACTGTGAACTGAAATTGATCACTTTGACTAGTGAGATGGCATTGGTACATGCAACCTTGATGGGATTGTATTGGAATCGGATCAATGTCACTTATATGTAAGCCCAAATGGTGAGCTATATCTCTAATTGAGACTTACAGAATAAGCAAATCAATCTTTGGCAATAAACCAAGTATTTGAAGCCTTCTTTGTGGTCATCAACAGGGATTATAAGGATTGAGTCTTGATTATACTTAATATCCTGTTCAGTAACAATGCCAACATTGCGATCAAAATTTCTACAATCTACATACTTATTTACCATTTCATCAAATATGGCATCCTTCTGATTCCCATCCAAACGATTATTTTTGTTGCTATATCTGAGGAAAGTTCTCTGGCTGAAAGTTATATTGATTGATTAGTAGGAGACTGACCCATAGACATAGTACCAGCATACCGTCTATGCTCATCAAATTTCCTCCTTTGGTTAATGCTACTGTCCCTGAGCACATCCATTCAGCCCATATGGTTCTTATTCAGTCCTTGAATGGCTTATTCAGGCAAACATCCAATGGCTGTAATAGCGATGTCAGACCCCCCAGGACTCACGCAAAGATCAGTTTTTAATTTTTTGGCTGTATTTCTTACTCCATCTGCTAAATGTACATGGAACAGTTCCCATACTTACATGGAACGTTTGTGGAACTGTGCCCCCGGGCAGGGATCCCATATCTTTTGCAGCCAGAATTTGACGAGATCATCATGGATCCAATGCTCTGGATATGTCTATGCTATTGCTTGAGCAATATTTCTACCCCTTCCTTTTAAAAAATTTATTCAGAAAACTATGTGCAGCTTTGATTTTGTACTGCTGGTCAGACAGTGTTCTTTCTTATTTCTTCTAGTGAGAGTAGTTTTTAAGCTCACAGTTAAGATTGTGGATTGTGGATATTCCATTCATGTCCCTAAGACACACAAACTCATGCTCAAACTCTCTAATGCTCATTGCTGCCAGTTAAGAGTCTGGTACTGGAATTTGTCTACCATAATCTAAGGCTGGTAAATAATAGTGAAAAGTAATGATGATACTCTAGTAATATGTAGCATATATCCTTGGAGGAAGCTCACAAAAATAACACTTAGACATTATCTCATTCTATCCTCACAACATCTCTATGAAATAAGTAGAAATCAATTTTCTACCACTGTAGAGATTCATTTTAGCAGTTGGCACACAAACATAAATTCTTAGCTCAATGTTCTACCCATACTGTTGTCTTATTGTGATTCCTGAGCTAAGAAATTGTTATAGGTATATAAATAAAAAATTCATTTAGCATTCATGGGTAAAACACATTGTCACTACTCATCTCAGGTTTCATGACCCACTTTATTCCTGTGACAATGAAAAATAGATTTTTTTCTCTGTAATACTTCCAAGTGAAGACAAGGTAAAATTAGAGTCAGTACTGAGGGACAAAGATTTAAACTCCGGAATCAGAAAAACCTAGGCTGGAATTTCAGCTATGCCATTAAATTGCTGTGTAATCTTGTGCTCTAAGTCTTATTTTTCTCATCTGTAAAATGGAGTTAAAACAGTTCCCACGTCATAGGATTTTTATTGATATTAAACAGAAGAATGGTTGTAAAGTACCTAATAATATGTGCCTGGCACAGTGTAAGTACTTATAAAATATTCAGTCATCATCATCATTGTTACTAGGAATTTCAACTATTTTTAGATGGCAAGTTTACAGACTAACCACACAAACTTTTACAATTGAAAATTCCACTTTAATTTTGTCACAAGCTCTTTGCGTGGCTGTTTTGCTCTTAGTCAAAATTCTTGGTCTGGTTAAATTTCCAAATAGATACAGCCTTAAGGGTAAAATCTGCATTTAGTAATAGTAAACATGCTTCTCTCTTAAGAAAAAAAAAAAAAAACAAAAATGGAAATCAACAACAAATTAGAAATTCATGTAAAAGATAACATGATGAGTGCATTTAACAGAAAATAAATAAAAGATAAATTAACAAATATTTAGCTTACATGTCTAGTTCTCTGGTTCTTTTGTTTGTTTTTCTTAAAAATGTAGGTTGATTAAGTTCTCTAAAAGCTCTTTCATAGATCCAAAGTTAATAATAGGAATGTTTTGAGGATCTTCCTTGTTGCTGGAAGAATGGCTAAGATTTGCTTTGTAAATTAATTTTAGGTGGTGACATCCATTATATTAACCTTACGACAGTATACTCTTATATAAATGACACACATACTTTGCTAGACATCAAATTCCTTAAACAGTTTTTCATGGAGCCCAAGTTGTTCCTTGGAGGTATGTCAGGAACTGCCAAGGATTCAAAGACTGGGTAAGGGGCTTGCAAAGGGCTTTAAATCAGAGTATTTTCATTTTGTCAAATGTGTATATTAGAATTCTTTAGAATTCATTTGAACAAAGAGTTGAAAACTATTAACCTATATTAATAACACTGAGTCTTTAGAAAAAAGAATATTTTAATCCCATTTTATTCACTTTCTCTTGCCTGTGCTTATTCTTATTTATGCCAGGAGAACTGTATTTCTCCTCTATTTATTTATCTAAATTTAAATTCAATATTGTCTGCTTTACTTGAGAGTATTCCCGAAATGTCCTTCAAAACTACAATTCCAAGTAATATGTTATCTGTATCTCACATATACACTTACACTTTAAGATCTGACATTTGAGGGTTCTACTATTAAGCAAAAATGACAGATTCAATACGTGTTTATCATACAAACAATGGGTAGGGCTGAGCTATATGTTCTCAGATAGCCACTATTCAGAGCTTATTTATTTGGAGTGATTACATAATTTATAGAATGCTTCTAGGAGGATTCTTAGGTGTCTTTTTAAAAGAATGAATTCTTTATGCTTCTTGTTTTAAAATAAAGTAAAATAAAAATCCACAGTCTTAGTGGTAGTAGTATTCTAGGCAAATAAAAATTGTGGCTCTTGAACTAGATCACAAGAATAGTAATGAATCAATGGCAAATAAAGAAATAGATTCTCATTATTATATTCCCCTACCCATGGCAGTGTATTTCTTCTAATTACAAACTGATGTAAATTGTTATTTGTCATTGACAAGGATTATTGGTTCCAAAACAAACCTAAACTGTTGTTTCAACAATGTGGTTTCTAATATTGTCTATTATTTCAATGAAAAAAAAAAAGAAGGAACTTTTTTGGTACTGCATGAAGGTCACTGCATTTTTATTGGTTACTTATAAAATCTTATAAAAAGGATCCTTAATCCTTTTAAAATGACCCTATCAATTAATATATTTAGCATAATTTACCAACATTTCCAAACTCAGCATGGAAAAGCCATCACCATGGCACTAGGTCATGGATTCCAAATGAAGCCGTCAGCAAGGATTAATAAACTGTGACAGCTGCCCAAAGCTTTCATTCCTCTTATCTAAACATCAGATTGCAAGCTGAAATTCAGTGTAATCTTTGTTGAAACTTGCCCAGCTAACATGGAAGAAGTCAGAACTGAGAACAGATGATTGTAGTAGCTGTTATTATAAATTTAGTTCATAGCAATAAGTCCTAGAATTTACATATATAGCAATTTTTAGAGAATTTCAGGAGTAGCACACTACTATCTCTAACTGTTTGGAATGTACTCAACAATGATATTTCTGAAAACTAGACTGATGAAACTAAAGTTATTTATTTTTAATTTCTATGGTCAATAAATTGTTTATTCTTTCACTATTGATTCCTTCTCTCATATCACAATTTAAAAAGTTTATTTTGGGGTTGCATAATTTTCCTAGGGATTATAAGAAAAAAACTAGACCATCTGATATGACTACAAAACTGTTGCTGAAATTTTTATTGTACAAATACAGCTCATAGATATCTCAACAAGAAGGTGAAACTGATCTAGAAAATGGTTACTGTAATTTCCTAAACAAGGCAGATTTGCAGAGAATAAGATATGACAATCCACTAGGCTAAGAATTTATTGTTTTTAAGTGCATATAAATGAATATATAATATTTCTTAGTGTTTAGATATTAGCACCAGAAATTTATCAGTTTATTCTACATGTCAAATAGCTAGCAGATCATTTGAGCTTACCCCCTTTTCAATATTCCCAGTTTGACATAGTGTCCCCTCAGCTGCTGGAATACTGTTGGTAACACAGCGGTTGCTTTTGCTGAGGCACCAGAGCTCTCTACACACTTCCTAGGAAAGAAGGCAAAAGCAAGTTGATCAGAAATACATACGAAATTCATGGCCCATGTTCTATAAAATATACTCACAGTCACTCAGCATTATGTTAAAGGTCACATGCTGCTGTTGAATCCTCAAAGATAAAGATTTTAGAGGAATTCCTGATGGAAAGTGGGTCTCTCATTTTGCCAAATCATTTAAACAATTGTCTTTATAACTCTTACTAGATAAAATATATCTTAGCTTTTAAAATTGATTAGGATCATTTTATAATACTATATAGAAATGTCATTAATATAGAAGAGTTAGAAGAAAAATGAATATGTAGAAAGGAAATATAAGTTTATCACACTCAAGAAAATATGACAGACCAAACTTACCAATTAACAATGAAGTTTTGCCAGATAAATGATTTCCTAGATCTACCACAATATTCAAATAAAGACAATTTTAAAATATAAAAGGATGGAGAGAGAAACAGAGATAATTCCACCATAGGAATGAGTAGGGATTTAATATATGAACTGAACAAACTAAAGTATGTTTGGAGTAATTTTTAATGTTCATATAAGCCTAAGAGCAGTCTAGCAGTTGTTGTTTTCAGTTCATCATTGCAGACTACTTCCATGAAAGGGAAACTTGGTTTTGAACAAATGCTAATTTTTATGGATTGTTTCAGACTTTGTTTGGGGCTGTATTATCTTCTTGATTATGAATTTTCACTATCCTACCTTAGCATTTATCAATAGACTATATATATTCTGAACCATGACCAGGGATGCATGATCTAATACATGGTTGCACAGTGGAACAGAATTTTTTTTTAACAAAATAATGACTATTACCTACGACCTCAGGCACATTATCAGGGAGCTGGATCAATTTGAGCCCCAGCTCTTCTACTTCCAACCCAGCTTCCTGATAATGTATACCGTGAGAGGCAGCAGGTGATAGCTTAAGTAGCTGGGTCCCTGCCACCCATGTGTGGAGGTCCGGATTGAGTTGTGGGTTCCTAGGTTTCAGTCTGGTTGTTCCAGACTAACTCAAGTCTATGTAAACACTGACAAACCTCATAGATAATAAACATTCCTCATATATTAACAAAGCTATGATGTCTGTCTCTTGGCCTTTCAGATAAAATTGAAAGTAAATAAATTTTAAAATGTTTTAAAAGGAAAAGACTGTTCATCTACATGTAGATTTAAGGCCTCAAAACCAGTGTAAGCAGCTAAATTGCTCTCATAAACTTCAGATAGCAAAAGGATAGGACAACCATACACAGTGCCTTTCATTTACATGGCATGTGGCAGACATTTCTGTTACATAACACATAAACTTTGAAATGAATGTCTAATTTCATGGGATCAGCTTGTAACTGATTAGGAGAATTGTCTGGCAATGCATAAGGGATAGTATTTTCCATGTTTATTTAAAGATATTTATTGAGAATCTACTATGTATGAGGCATTATGTCAGTATTACAAATAAAAATACTATAATACTATCACTTAGAATTCATAGTAACTTTACAGAAGGAGTTAGGATATCAACAGACACGTAGTCCAAATGTCATGGATTGGAACTGCTCTGTGAAAAAGTGTTTAAATGTTCAATGACAAAATTAGAAGAATGATGTCAAGTTAGTCACGTTTTAATGAGTCATTGGTACTTCTCAAGTTCATCCTTTTATTTTTTTATGTCATAATAGATTGTAAAATTCCTGAGGGTGGGGTCTGTGTGTTAATGGCAGCCTTTACCAAATGTTCTCCTTGGTAAAATTGGAAAGTGGCATCCTATCTTGGTCTGCCAATTTTTGGAGTGAAATTTTCCTTGCCTGCCAAAATCTAAGTAAGTGAACTACCCTCTGAACAGATTTGTTTTTTAGATTTATTTATTTTGAGAGAAACTCTTTAAATGCCTGAATCAAAGGACTTTTTGTATCCCTTTGAACTTTTTCTAAGAGTTTTTGTGTATTGTTGAAGACTTTCTCTTTAGTTGTGAGAAAGCTTACCTGATAACTTCAAATCATTAATTATTATGAAATAATTGCATATGATAAAACAAGACATGGAATCATTCTACAATTTGACAGTTGTTCCTATGTCTTCTCATCACAGAAATACATGTTGTAGTCAATGACTAAATATAATTGTTAGTTTTATTTTATTTAGCACCTTTGTTTTTGCACATAAAGGAATGATTGTGTTTACTGTTTGTCAAGGTTTTGAATTGGATCTCTTTTCCTAGATTTTAGAAATTCAATGTAATTAAAGATTAGGAAAAAATATGCACATCAGCTTAGTCAGTTCAACTAACAGGTAAAAACTAGAGGGAGCCGATTGATATTACTTTAATATATATAGAAGAATCTTCAAAAAGTCAGAGCTGAACAATGATAAACTAAAACTTAATCACTGAAAACACTGCACCACATACTTCATGACAGGGATGTTCTGACAAGGAAGAAAAGAAATAATACTTTTCTAGGATTTACTGTCAACTACTACGCTAAGCATTCTGTATCTCATTTAATCATCATGGCAATCTTTTAGAAAGTGTGAGTAATCTGTATATATGAAATGCATTAAATTTGTTCACCTTAAACATTTTTAAAGTAATTTTTTAAAAAAATGTGAGAAACTTTAGGTTCAGAAAAACTTAGCAATTTGCTTTAATTCTAACTGAATCTAAATTTGAATCAGTTCTATCTGAGGTCAATGCCCGAGATTCTCCACACAACTAAGCTATTTTCCCATTTCTCTCAAATGTATCAGAACTAAATTATGTCACTGGTCAATTAAGGCTCATTAGTAAGGGTTTACTTTTATTCTAATATAAAAGATCACTAAATAATCACAATACCTTACTTTTATTGTAAAGGATTGTATCTCCAAATCAAAATGGTTATACACAATTAATATATATTTACTCAATATATGAGCTTAGACACCAATTTTGTCATTATTATTATTACATTTAAGTTCTGGATTTAGTATAGCTACTTGTGTTTGGATTTTTAAAAGATACTGTTAATACACTTAACAATATGGATATATATAACAAAATTATCCCACAATCTTCCAAAAAACAAGACAATTAATATTACTACTTATTCAACATTTTAATATGAACTCCCAGATTTCCAATCTATTTGATTTTTCAGATGCATAATACTATTTGCAAACATTAACAGTATAAAATATTATCAAGCATAAGTGATAGTAAAATATATTTAGAAAATGGAATTTTACAGTAATTATCTAATGTAAAATAATATACCTGACATACAGTAAACAACTTTGCCAAGAATTGCATGAGGGCTCATTTGAGCAGAATAGATAATAGATTATTTTATAGAGATCCTTTAAATATAACAAAAGAGGTGAAAATAACCCTTCTTAACATTTCCATGCTTCTTAAGTAACTACATACGTAAAAACAAACTAAAAAAAATAAGAAGTTCTTTGATTTACCTAGGAAAATTAAAATTTGTAGCTGACACAAGGGGAAAAGAAACATAAAAACATAAAATGATTGTATAATTAGATTATTAAGATTTTGAAATTATTATATTTTTATTATATTATATATTTATTATATAAAAATAAAATGGTATACCTATCGCTAATTTTTTTTATTTCTCTTAATAGCTGTAAAGACCAATAAAAGAAATATTTACAAATCATCTGCCATTGGGAAACCCTAACTCTATGACATCCTGGGTCCTTGACTTCAAATCTGAAACATTCTCTTTGTCCTTATTACCCTATCAGTAACATCCTTCAACAGCTGTTCACAATAAAGGATCCTGATGGTAGAGGAGGAGAGCAGAGCCCTGGAAGAGGTCAGGAAAGAGCACTCGTGGTTAGAAAGGTTACTTATCATATGATCGCACAAAGGAAAACTGAAAACCAACATATGGTGACCCATGGCCCGGTACCAGTTGTTCACAAGCCATTTCAAGAGAGAGAATAACATGCTGTCATTTCTGCCTTAAATAGCTTAATCCTGTTACGTGGGTAATTTACATATAAGAGATCTTAGAAGGCAAAAAATAACAACAATCCTAGTCTAGAAATTCAGGTTAAATAAATAACTAACAATTTGAAGGGATTAAAAATTATTAAATGGTTAAGAAGAAGAAAAATATTTACAAAGCAAACCCAGAGTAAAAAACCATTGATCTTTAAGGATATGAGTGAGATGGATATATGATTTTGGCTTGGAATTTAGGAAAATTAAAATCAAGTAAACCTCTTGCTAAGTATATGCCAGATACATGTATCTGTATGGACTCCAAAAGAATATTGAGGTGCTACAATATTTCCATGGTTTTTATTCCCTAAGTCCATATCAAACAGCACTGCAGAGTATTTATATCGCCTTAAAATCTTTCAGGAAAGTGATTCTATAATCTCTCTCAGTGCAACATTCCAGTATTTAATAACCTGGAATTATTTCTAATACCTAATCTACAATCTTTAAATTGTAAAAATTAAGACTACTTTGAGTTTCTAAATGTTCTTGGTAGGAAGGGTATCAGTTTGTTACCAGAAATCAAACTATTAGGTGTTCTAACACCTGAGGATGGTTTTGAGGCCAAAACAAGGACATTTAACTTTCTCTTTTATAAGCTACTCTCCCTCATTTTCTTTAAACTTCTCTAATATGTACTTCTCAGTATGTCACTACTATCCTCTCTCAAGTTATCTGCACCTCTTAAAAAATTGTCCATGTAGCTAACAGTATCTTAAGAAAGAGTAATTTGAGTAAGGTCAACATATAATTATATGAAGGAATGATTCTTAATGATAAATAATGACTTGAATCTTAGTTAAGTGATGGTGATTTAAAAGCAGAAACAAAAGAGAGATAGCAAGAAAATATTAAAAGCTAGAATCTGAGAGACAAAATATGCAAGTCTTTATTAAGTACTCTACAGGGAAGAGTTGATCAGAGATTCAACTATTTTTTCTTGACTACAAAGAGCTAGCTTTCAAGTGGAAAG